GGCGTCAACCGCGACCTTCCGTCCAATCTATCAGGATACACCCCGTACCGCAACGCAAACGCACTCGGATTCTGCGCCCTATCCTGCGGCAGCTGCGCGGGGCGAATCCTCTTCGTCCAGTCGCGCCGGCGGACGACGTACGCGGGATTCTTCTCATCCTGCACGCGCGAATCGCCGTCTTTCCAGAGGGGATCCGTCCAGGCGGGAATGTATTCCACGTAGGCCCATTGGCCCTTGTTTGCCGGCTTCACGGGCGGTGCGCAGAGGAATAAGGGTGCGTGGGGATTCCCGGACGGTCGGAGGGATGTGATGGCCGCGGCCGTTGTGTCGTGGGTGTGGACTGCTGTGGCGGGGATGGAGATATTGGAGGTGTTTGTGTGGGTGGAGGATGTGGTGTTGTTTGAGTCTCCCGAAGAGGCTGGTTGTGGTGACGGGGAGAGGGGGAGGTTGATGGGGCTGTCTGGGTGTTCGCGGGTGTTTCTGACCCACCATTCTTCGTCGTAGATTGTTTCTTGGGTGAGGTCCTTGTCTGGAGAGGCGGCCATGGTGATGGCCTCACCGGTGGTGGTGTCGTTGCTTGGGACGGACGTTGGATTGCTTGACCAGGCAAGTTATGTGGGTATCGAGATAAAGACGGGTTTCCTAGAGGAAACTGGAAATTAGGAGAAAGGAATACCGAGAGACGCGTTAGCTCAGGGGGCCATGGCTGATGGGAGAATGAGCCATTTTGGTGTCTTTGGCGTTGTCTCTTGGAAGACCTGGAGTTGACCTCGAAACCAAGCAAGACAAGAATAGTAGTAGTCTTCGGCAACTCCCTCGACTTGTAACAATGTCAAGCACAATTCATACAGCAGGTTCTTTGACTTCACATCCAGAAAACCCGCATTCAACCTTCATCCCTCTAAATGTCTCCTCAAAGGAGCAGCCTGGCTTGGAGCGTTCAGATGCATCGCTTGAAGGGCTCAGCTATCCCCAGTGAGGCGAGAATCCCCTCAGAGTATCGACCGAAGGGAGCCTGCATGGAAAGTTGACAAAGAAGCATACAATGGCAGGTCAATAGCTGCAGCACTTTTGTCTGAGCGTCACTGCGCATAAAGTTGGAAGGGAGACGCACATTTCAGGGAGTCGTGACAAAGGCATGTTGGGTATCACACGCTGACGCGACTATCCCGTCGTCATAGTAGCATACCCCAGTCATTCGAGTACAATAGCACATTGACCACAAACACAAGATCGGGGCCTGAAGATAATCAAAGCATCAGGTTGACGTTCAACCTCGGAAATCGGTCAGATAAGATGGGTCAGATGGGTATTGGATTATGTATATTTTTGACTGCCAGTCGGAACGCAGAGCTGACCACCAGGAAAATAGTCTCCCATCATCTGGAGAAAACGCACCGAACACATCACGTCACATGCATCAATCAGGGAACGAGCTTGAAGTGTCTATGGCTTGTATTGCCGTCTATTTACTCTTTCTACTCTCTTGTTCTTACCCCCTCATTCCCTGTCGCCAGGAACCTCTCTCACACTCGCGCGCGGGATCCTCCAATCCCGCAGCGAGATGGTCATTCCTTCATCCGGCGATTTCATTTCAAGGGGAATCTCATGGGTGCTCGTCAAAGAAATCATAAACAGGCCCGTAACCATGCAACCCGCGTTACCGAAAAAAGACTTTTGTAAGGCTCGTGACAAATGGAAAGGAAAGCGATCTCGTGGCGACTGGTTTAAATGTCGTCCTCGTCGGAGAAAACCTCCTCACCACGCTTGCGGCGGGCCATGCGGTCTAGAGGGAATATGTTAGCATTCTGCGTACAGCGCATCAAGTGATGGATGGAATAAACTTACCCTTCTTCTTCTTGCGGAGCTCGGAAGAGGACAACTTGACCTTCTTCTTGGTGTTGACGATCTTGTTGCCCATGGCGTCGAACTTCTCCTCCTCCTCACCCTCATCACCCTTGAGACGGGGACCAGAGCCCTGGCCCTGAACCCAGTTGTGACCGGAGGGAGTCATCTTGCCGTCAACGACGGCCCAGACCTCCTCAGTGATGTTCTTGGTGAACTCAGCAGAGTGGGTAATGATGATGACACCACCCTCGAACTTCTTCAGGGCCTTGGACAGGGCACCGAGAGAGTCACGGTCGAGGTAGTTGGTAGGCTCGTCAAGGACGATCAAGTGGGGGCGTTGCCAAGAGCAGGCAGCAAGGACGACCTTGACACGCTGACCACCGGACAGACCACGCATGCGAGAGTGGGAAACCAGCTCAGCATCGAGACCGAAGTTGGCGCAGTGAGACTCAATCTCCTTACGGACCAGAGGGCGGAACTGACCGGAGGCGAGGGCCTCCTTCATATCGACATCGGCAACCATCTTCTGGTGAGAAGCCAGAAGCTCGTTACGGGGAAGCCAGACGTTGTCAGCGGACATCATCGGAGTCCAGCGCTCGTTCTTCTGGCCGACGTTGTCACCAATGGCGAAAGAGCACTCGTACTCGTAGGAGTTCTTGAACTTTCTGCGGGAGTTGATGCCGATAATGCGGCGCTGGGTACCCTCGATCTTGAAGATCTTGTTCATGGCCTCCTCATCAGCGTCGGTGATGATCTTGTTGGCGCGATCCATGGTCTCGCGATCCTCACCAGTCTGGAAACGCCACTGGATGTACTCGGAGGGGGTGCTGTCCAAGTGGTTATCGATGTGGGCGAAAGCGTGCTGCTTGATGTAGGCGATACGGATGTTCTCGTGCTGGTAGATCTCACCAACGGTGGGGATAAGTTCACCAGTAAGGACGTTGATAAGGGTGGACTTTCCGGCACCGTTGGGGCCAATGACGGCGATACGGGAGCCGAGAGAGCACTGAAAGGAGATGTCGGAGATCTGGGGCTTGGTGGTACCGGGGTACTGGAAGGACATCTTGCTGGCACGCAGAATGGCCTTGGCCTTGGTCTTGACACCCTCGAGGAAACCGGGCTCGGGGAAGGAGAACTCCATCTCGGAGTCGGAGAGCTCGTAGTAGGACTTGGCGGCAGGGTTCTTCTTGACGAACTCCTTAAGGTTACCACGGTAGCGCTTAAGCTTGAAGCGCTCGTAGTGGACGATGTGCTGGCAGACGTTGTCGAGGAAGCCAGAGTCGTGGGAGACGATGATGGAAGTGCAGGGGGAGTTCATGAGGTAGTCCTCGAGCCACTTGACGTTCTTCACGTCCAAGTGGTTGGTAGGCTCGTCGAGAAGCAGAATATCGGGAGCCTCGAAGACGGCACGGCAAAGAGCCAGCTTCATCTTCCATCCACCAGACAGGGCAGAGATCTCACCCTTGACCATGGCCTCGGTGAAGCCAAACTCGTTGAGCTTGGACTCGACATCGGCCTGGGCGGTCTCGACACCGGCATCAGCAAGCTTCTTCATGGTCCACTCGATGGTGGTCATCTCAGTGTCAGCAGAGTCCAAGTCGTGCTCGACGAAGACGGTCTTGACCTCGGATTGCTTGGGGAAACCCTCAACCTGCTCGTTGTTGATGGCACGCATGAGTGTAGACTTTCCGGAACCGTTGGGACCGCAAAGACCATAGCGCTGGCCACGCTTGAGACGGAGGTGGGTCTGGTTGAGAAGAATCTTGGCACCATAGGCAAGGGAGAAGGTGCAGTTGCAAAGGTCCTCACCCTCCTCATCATCAGGGTCGACCTCCTCCTCCTCGGCGGCACCGGGAGCGGCGCGCTTGCGGAAGTCATCGACAACCTTCTGGGCATCCTCGTCGCCAACGATGACGGAGATGTAGGGCTTGAGGGCCTCAGTCCAGACGGCGGACTCCATCTCCTTCTCGTCGATGAGCTGACCGGCGATGTTGGAGGCGTACTGGAGGACAACGTCGAGCTTATCGGCCTTGGCCTTGGACTTGGAGGGGATGGACTCCTTGAGCTTGGGGAGGACAACCTCCAGGTCGGAGTCGTGGCGGACCTCGGGGATCTTGCCGTCAACGACGTTACCGACACGGGTGATGGTGTCGAGGGCCTGCTTGGTCTTCTCACGGGCCTCGGGGTCGGCCAAGTTGTCGTAGTTCTTCTGGAGACCAGGCATCATCTTGGGCAAGAAGGGAGCGACAATGTTCGGGTCGTCGACAAGCTTGCACATGTTGTCGACAATGACGGCGGCCTTACGCTTGATGGCGGTCTCACGCTCGGCGAGACCACGGTCAAGCAGGGGAACCATGAGGGCAAGAGTGGGCTCCTGGACCTCGGTGACGAAGGTGGTGGCACCGAGCAAGTGAACGGTCTCGGGAACGTTCTCGGGCTTGGCGATACACTTGATAAGCTCGGGAATGAAGCGCTCGATATCACGGTTGACAATGAGCTGGCAAATGGCCTCCATGGTCTTGTAGGCACGCTCCTTGACCTCCTTCTTGGTGTCCCACATGGACTCGGAGACGACGGGGATCAAGTCGGGAACGCGGTAGCCGACCTGGGCGGGGGCGGTGCGGATGACGGTCTCGAGGACATCGAGAGCAGCCATCTTCTCCTGCCACTTCTGGGCCTCGAGGAGGGACTTCTTGACGGGGGCGAAGACACCCTTGACAGCGTTGGGGTTGATGGCCTCAGCGATGGCAAGAGCAGCGGCGGTGGCGGCGTTCTTCACACCGGTGATCTTGTCACCAGCGGCGGCAAGAACATCGGGAAGGAGAGCGACGAGGAGGGGCTCGACGTGAGCGGAGACCTCGGAGTGCTGAGCAATGGCGGTGATGGCGACAGCGGCCTTCTCACGGGCAGCGGCATCCTTCTTGTTGTTGAACAGCTTGCGGATAGACTCGATGGTCCTGCGGGGAAAATCCTTGTCAGCGCTGATGCTCCAGAAAAAAAAAGTTGTGTGAGCCGAAAATAACTCGCCGCTGAGTGGCCAGCGTGGCTAGTCGCTCAGCGTCGCAGCGGATCGGTGCAAAAGCCGCCCGAAGAGGCGAGGGGGACAGAAAAAAAAATTCTGAATTTTTTGGAGAAATTCCCAAGGCCGTGGACACGGTCGCTTGAGGCGAAATCTCACCCTTCCAAAAGAAATGTTGCGGTGTAGTCGGTAGCGAAGATGGTAGTAATAACGACTTACTTGGTGGGAACATCCTGATCCTCAATGCGGCCGTTCATGAAGGAAGCCAGGGAGCTGGAGGACTCCTTGATGTCGGCAGCCTCCTTGGAGACGGTGAGCTTCTGGAAAAGCTCGTCCAAAACCTTGACGGACTGGGCGTTCTCGGAAGACATTATGACGGTTGGTATTATGTCGATCGGGAGGGTGTTTGTTGAGATATTCGTGGGGAGGGAAAACTCGCGATTCTTGAACGTCTAAAGCGTCTAGATGCGAAGTCTATAACTCTATCGTGACCGGGAAAAGGACGATTGAGAGGTGGAAAAGGCCCGCGAGAAGAGACAAACGACTGGAGGATCGTAGTTCTTCTGCTCTAGTATGGCACTTCGTGGGTGTGTAGTCTCTGAACTTCTTGCGAAGGCGGGGTCGATCTAGGCGAATATCGCACTTGATAAACCGTCGCAGACAGGACGTGTAAAGAAAATCAAATGATTGAGTGGAGATGCGTCTGGAGGAAGACGGATAACCAGGAGGAAGAAAGGGAACGGGAGGTTGGAGAGAGGAAGAGATTCAACAGGAGGAAGAGGAGGGAGAAAAGATTGTGAAAAAGGGTGAGGGCGGCGGGCTGGGAGTTTTTAATGTCTAGCGCCAAAATTCAGGCCTGGCTTGTGTTATCGCTCTGCTTTTTTGCCCCCCCTCCCTAAGGTAAGGCCCCTCCCCTCCAGTGCCTCCCCCTCCATTTGGTGCCTGGTCAAAAATGTTCAGCACCTTACGCAGTATTCCCCCCCCCCTTGTCCCGCCGCCCGCCCGCCCACCAAAAACTTTTTTTATTTTTTTTTCTTCTCGCTCCTTCCGTCAGCTACCAACAGAAGTAGCAGAGAGTGGCAGAGCTGGCCGCAGAGAGTGTGCGCTGTGTGGCTCTGTGTGGTTCGGCGTGTCACTTCTGGCCCGGCGACGGCGACGCTAGCGGCAAGGGTAGCCCCACCACAGAAAAAAAATCAGAAACTGCGGAAACCACCCCTCCTTCCTGCCTTCCTGCTTCCTCCCTCCCCTCCTCCAAGACTTCTGTCCAAGTCTCTCTCTCCTGCCTGCCAGTGCCTGCCTCTTGACTGCAGTGTCTAAGGTAAGGAAGGTACTTGGTGCTTGCCTCGCTGCCACCTGCCCTGTGCTTGTGTTGGGCACCTTGGTTGGGTGTCACTGTGTTCCAACCCCCTGGCGACTCATGTCTTATCGGAGGGGTTAACTCGCTTATCTGACCCCTCGCTAACCTCGAAAGGGTTATCGAGAAGGGCGGTGAGAGGGAAAATGCCCGTTCATGCACCAATGCATTTTCAGCCATTTGTGAGGCCCACGGACACTTTGCCATTTTGCCTTGATTGACGGCGTCTCTTTTTTTTTTTTTTTTTTTTATACCACGGTGCTCAGGCCCGGTTCCTGACTCTGATATTCGACGGTTGGTTCTGTTGAGTTGAGCACACCTGGGGTCCCCAGTCTCTCTCTCTCTCTCAGTCAGTGCAGATTCACCGATGCTCTCTCTTTCTAGAGACCATGAAATAGCAAGGTGTCAACATTGTGCTTAGTATCTTTCTCCTTGAAGGGCCGAGCTGATTTCACGGAGCAACCCTCCGAAATATTCCCTTGTGGTCAATTTCGTTTTTGCCTTGGTCACGGCGATTCCATATCGCCAAACCTCGGGCCATATCGGCATTGTTGTCTCCCCTTCCACGTGTCTACCTCTATATGCTTCCATTCGCTATAGGTCTGATATAAGAGTTATCTCTACGGACACCTAAAGCTACCCCACAGTGGCGGATATATCCACGTCGCTGCTAAACGACCTTCAAGTCGCACCTCTAGTCAGCAATCTCACCTCCCGTCTCTCAAGTGAATGCCGGCTGAGTGGCTCAGTTCACGATAAGCCCTGCCTTATCCCGTGCGCTTAGCGTAGTATGGGGAAGAGGGTGAGAATCGAGGAGGACGAAGGAGGAAAGGAGGTGAGACGGGCATCGTCCATGTGTAACCCCTTATCCCCTGTCGTTTCCAGGCCGTCTGAGTCGTCTCGGCCGGGGATGAACATCGAAACCCATCCAAACACCGCCATAATGTACGGAGTACATATGCAGCGTGAGATGTCAGTTGCAATACACGTGTATTCTCACAGATACGTAGGCAACTAGGCAAATAGGCAAGCACCCCAAAGTCTGGACGGTACATAATAGTTTTCTGCGCCTCGGCTTCGCCACCCCAATTCCCTTTTGCCTGGACGAGGCAGGCGCAATGTCCGAACCGCTACTCCTGCACAAGCACATGCGAGGTACCGCGCTCTACGTACCTTACCGTAGATTCCTGACAACCAGACCAGGGCAAGAAGGAAGGAGGTTGACGTTCCCATGGGACCGTCCCTGATTATCCGGAAAAAAAATTCTCTTGTTACAGAATACGCCGAAGTCTAGCACAGAGATAGTCATCCCAACTCTAGTTTCATCCGACGGTGAATGTTTCTCTCAGTCTTTTGTACTTCCTACTTTTTGTCAGCTCTTCCTTTGGCATGGAAGCCGGGTTCTGGCTTCGCTGGCGTTCCGGGCCACTCGGATCGTCCCTTTTTGCCACGGCCTGCCCGATTCGACCTTGATTCATTGAGACGCTGGCCACTAGGTCCGAGTCCATCTGGGTCTTTGTCCCGCCCCCAACGCCTCCAAGAAGAGACCCAGCGAGCGGATTGGCGGAAAGAAGTCCTTGGAAGGCTGAGGTCGCTACAATTAGACAATGCTGAGACTGACTGGCTGTCCGGACCAGGCTGCGTGGCATGCAAGAGGTCAGACCTCCGAGGCTGGACGGATCGATAATCTGCACCTCTACAGGCGTTATTCATGCCCTTGACTTCTAGATGCTCGTAGCGGATGGTAAACTGCCATGGACACTAGATATCTCGTCACCGCTCTTCTGGCATCAAAAAGCGGTGCCATTGGAAAGAACCTGAAGTTCGCAACCTTTTCAAACTTAGTCCTCCCACAGGAGAGGCGGAAACAGCCCGCTACAGCCGCCAATAGCCCTCTCCATCATCTTCGATGTCGTTGATATTGAGCTTCAAAGCTCTCGTTATCTGTTCTTATCGATACGTTCAGGCCACCAGCTCATCACGATTGAATGGCGGGGTGATAAGCAGTTGATTGCGATTGCGGCGTTGCGCTCCTCCCTCACCAACTCCACAAAATCGTGGGGCCCCGTAGAATTTTCTCTCTCGATCCTTCACCAAGCCCGTCATTCCTTAGCCCGGGCAACGACACACCAAAACGACTGCAGGGGCCGCACACCCTCCCGCTTTCTTGACCGCTTGATGGCCTGGTTCATAGCGGTAGATGGATATCGTCGTCAG